TCTCTATCAGTCGGTGGCCAAATTTTGTTGTTCTCTATACGATGGATGAATCAAAGTTCTTTCTAAGACCAACATTTTCTTTGAAAAATAAATTAATTTAAAATTTTGATTTAGGCTATGTTAACTGTTTGATATAGGCAATAGTAACAATAAATTATGTTAATTTATGATGGCAACTCAGAGCTTATTTTTCTGGCTTGTCATTTGGACAGACTTCAGTATTCCTAGCTGGATAGTTCTCTGTAATTTCCCCTCTGTGATCACCTGCCCCGAAGTTGGGGCTCTGGAGCATACTAGGCCAGGTTCTGCCCCTTGTTGATCTCCATCAAGTTCTTTACTCTTGACCTTGCTTGGTTTCCTCTTCCACTTCACTGAGCAAAATGGAAGGGTTACCGTAGATAAATGGCTTGTCATTACAGATATCTACAGGGGTTCGGTGATGAATTGGGCCAGGTGTGGACTGTGGTGAATTTGAAAGCACATGCCTCTTTAGAGGGGCAGCCCCTGCTCAGCCCCAGCCAGACATTGGCACACTCCACTGGGGCCTGATATGGCCATTTTCCATGAGAAATCACAAGGCCAGGCGTATATGTGAAACTCATGATTAAAAATGTTGGCGACAACAGCCCGGCCAGTGTTGCTCAGTGGTTGAGCATTAATCCATGAACCAAGAGGTTCCCGGTTCGATTCCCTATCAGAGCACATGCCCAGGTTGCAGGCTTGACCCCCAGTAGGGGACGTGCAGGAGGCAGCCGATCAAATGTTTCTGTCTCCCTTAAAAAAATCAAAAACATATTTTTAAAAAATCTTGGCAACAAATTTGAAATTTTATAAACCCTGTATGAGCCAAATAGAACACATCTGCTAGCCAGATCATATCCAAAGATTTGGAGTTTGTAATCTCTGGAGAAATCACCAGTTAGCATCCCACAGAAAATGAATGTGCCGGCCCCCAGCCTGTACTCCGCATCAGCCCTGTGCTGTTGGCAGGAACTGTGAGCATCACAGCGTACCAGGGAATAGTTCGGGGCCTTGCCAGCATTATCTTTGTGTCCAGTCTTCTTATTTACCAAAATGTTCCATTCAAAGGAGACTTTTTGGAGACAAAAGTGTCCTTGTGGAGGTAGACAACTTCCGGGCAGCTCAGGCAGGTTCCATCGTCTTTGTGGCCCTCTCCTCTTCAGACTGGCCTGGCTGCACTGAGATTCTGAGCAGTGAAAGCTGCTGCTTATTAACTGTGTGACCTTGAACGTGAGCCATGACTAAGATCCCTAGCGGGGCCTCAGTATCCCCCACTGGTTAAATGAGAGGGTTGGTTAAAGTAACTTTGGGAACCCTTCCATCACTGACAATTTCAAGTTCTTTATTGGGAAAAGGTAGGCTTCTGTAAGGTAAGCCTTTGGCCTTCCAGGATGGGCTGCCATAAACGGGCTCACTTAGCTCAGTAGTACAGGTGATTTAAAGGGTGATGATTAGATAGCAATGATTAATACTAAGAAATGTTTAGGACCAAATACCTGAGCTGGGCACAGACAGGGACCTAAAAATGAATAGGAACATATACAAAACAATGCAAAACCCTAAAAACATTACCACTAACAACAACAAGGAAATCCTCCAAGCCATTATTTCAATTTAGGGAAACAACAATCACTTTGCTTCTGTGTCTTATGAACATGTTAAAGCAGTTCCTTAATTAATTGCAGGCCAGTGCTTCTCACATTTGGATTTGCATTCAATCACCTGGCTCTTGTTAAAATGCAGATTCTAACTCTGGGGTAGGCTTAAGATTCTGCCTTTACCACAAACTTCCAGGTGGTGCTGCTGCTGGTGGTTCCTTGGCCACACCTTGAGGACTGAGGTGTCGGCCCAGCCCCGCCCTCTGAGCCCCAGTGCAGCCTGCTTCACTGTCACACTGTCATTCTTGCCTTTTCTCTCCGCCTTAGCCTCCATTTCTAGGCATTTCCTTTACTCTTTAACCAGACAGTCTGATACTTAAGTTGACTAGGAAAAAAAAAACACAACCCTCTCCCCGCTACTGGATCCTTAAGTGTCTTTTCTACTGCTCACGGTGTATCAGGGTGCTTTAGGAAGGGACCTCAGCACATCCAAACTCCACGGCTTGAGCTGCCAGAACAGTGCTTCAGGGAGTCTAAAGAGAGCATCTGGGCTCCTCCCGGGGCAGACGCTTTGCCCTGCCCTGGAAGGGAAAGCATCACAGCTCTCCCCCAGCTCTTGTAGATGTCAGCTAACTAATGCCTAAGCCCTGCTCTGCGGGTAACTCTGGACTTTGGTGAAATCATTTAATGCAAATGTTAATTTATTCTCATAATACAAAAATTTGCCTTTCTGAGGGGCTGGGGGAAGTATAGATGTATACAAAAGATTCTTCCTTTTAGAACTAAGGATTACAGGCCTCAAATATCTTTAATTCAGCCTTTATTAAAGTTAAGATGAGACCAAAGACCACCAGCTTCTGTAGCAGGAATCTTAAGAGAATCCAGGTACTTCTGAGAATGCAGAGTCCTCAGTCAACAAATTTCCTTTATTAAGTACATAAGGTAAATGGAATAGTGAAATGTGAGCCGTCACACATTTTAGGTCAAATCTATTTTGTACATTATTATCATAAAATTGAGATTCTATCTAAGATTTCACTAAATAAACAAGTAATAATGAAATTTTTATTTTAATACCTTTTGAGACAATGACTATTGATTTTCAATCTTTTTCATCTACTGGCACACATAAGCTAATTACTAAAATTCTGCGGCACACCAAAAACTGTGCTCTACTTTTTTGCTATCTGATGAAAAAATAGGTATGATTTTGATTCATTCACACCAGACAGCTATTGTTATGTTGTGATTTTTTTATTTGACAGTCTAAGACTGAATAATACTCCACTCTATGTATGTATATACCACATTTTCTTTATCCATTCATCTGTAGGCAGGACATTTAGGTTATTTCTATAGCTTGGTTTAGCCTACTTCTTGAAGGGACAGACATCCTATCACCATATTCTGTTTATTAGAAGAAAGTCACCAGGTCCAGCCCACACTCAAGAGGAGGGGACTGCACAGGATGTATTGTGACACAGGGGTCTTTGGGGCCTTTGTGACACATAGTAAGGTCTCAGTGAATGAGTTGAATCCATTATCTTGCAGAATCGCTCGCTGTCCTTAGCAGGGAGATGCATACACCAGGGTTTCGTTCAGTCTTTGTTCAGATTGAGCTCAGGTTGGCTGTGATTCACCAAGCAGCTAACACTCTGAGCTGTAGGTCAAGAACTGGTGGATTATCATGCATATACAGTTTGTTCTATAAAGTATGTACAGGTGGTTATGTTTGTTTGCGTGGCTGTCTTTAAGTTCTAATAAAGGAATTAAGAAGGAAGGGAAGCCTAAAGCCAGAGGTCCACTTTAAGATGATATTAAGCTAAGTATGGTGGGTGGGAGGGTGGCCATGGGATTTTAAAAGGTTACGTACAGCTGGCTCCTTTTTGCTGTACAGATCTCAGCTTAAATGACACCATCTCAGAGAGGCCTTCCCTCTCCATCCAATTTAAATTAGCTATCGCTTCCCTCTTCATCCTCACATAGTCCTTGGCACCTTCTGGCTCAATTCTCTGCTTATGTCCTTGTCTATCTCCCCCATGAGAACTAAGCCCGGGAGAGCAGAGACCTCACCTGTCTTGGTCCATCCCTGTGTGGTCAGCACCCCGAATGGGGCCTGGGAAACTAGGCTCTCAGTAAGTGCTTACTGAGTAAACACATGAATCAAACATGGAGACGTGAGATAATTCCAAGGAGTTTTGGGAATTATAACATTTTCGTGACTTCTGAAAGAAATGCCACTTACTCGGTTAACATGGAAAATACATTAATTTATTTTTAAAAAGAAAACAGTTTTAAGATAGTGGGGTAGTTTTAGCCCTATCACTTATTGCTCCTGGGCCATTGGGCAAGGCAGGTCACTGCTCTGGGCTTCAGTTCCCTTGGAGGGTAAATACCAGGGCTGCAGATCAGGGGGCTTCAGACTGTGCCGTCCCCAGACCCCAGTTGGACAGGGACAGCTCCGTGTTTACAGCATTGGTCTGTCACCTGAGGTTTTGGTTGAAGAAAGGATCCTGTGGCAAAAAAAAAAAAAAAAAAGTTTGAAGTCCACAGGGCCTCCATGCCCATGAATGGTCATCCCAGCTCTGAAGAAGCAGGCACTGGCGTGGTTCTTTGGCAGAAAGGGGTAGATACCTGTGGCTGGTGAAGCTTTGGGCTAGCGGAACCAATAGGAAGGCAAGCCTGATCATTTCAGTGCATGTGACCTAGCTCCCTTTCCAAGAATCCCCTTTCTCTCCACCCCCCTCCCCCCACATCATCACACCTCACTTATGCCCACATCATGCTGCCTTTGAAATGTTAGCATCGATTTTTTTTTTCTTCACATCGACTAACTCATTTCAACATTTCATTTCTGGCACAGCATATTCCACCAGATAGCCAGAACTTCTGAGCTCCAAGTTTTATAATTGAAATTCTGTCACATCCCCTGAAACAGTGCAAATTGTGCCATTAAGCCTGACTAAAAGATTTGAGAGTACTTCACCTAGTCATTTAAATATAATACTTCTGGCAGCTTTCAATTGGGTTTTTTAAATTCTAATTAAAAACCTATTATTGAACATTAATATCCTCTCTGTAGTGGGCTGTTGTGCCTCTGAGCTCCATTTTGGCCAGCTCGCTTTTAGACAAATAGCTTGTTGCACGGCCGTGGAGGCCCACGTGGTTTGTCCTGGCCTTTGGGAGACACCAGGTCCCAGGCATAATTAGTATAAATCAACATCCTCTAGACTATGACAGGAAAATGGTATGTTTGGACAGCAGCTTATTAAAATGACCTACTTAATTTAAGAAAAATATTGTATCTACTTGCACGGTAACCTGGATGCTTTCCCTGGCAGCCTTAATTATATTTCTCCTCTTTCCTTTTATTTCTTAAAGAACAGGAAAAGGAATGGAAAGGCCCATTCTACTTCATCCAGGGTGCAGACCCACAATTTGGACTGATGAAGTCCTGGTCCACTGGGGACTGTGACAATGGTGAAGATGAGTGGGGGCAGGAGATTCGTCTCACTGAGCAAGCCATTCAGGCCATCAACAAGCTGAACCCCAAGCCCAGATTCTTTGTTCTGTGTGGGGACCTCATCCATGCCATGCCAGGTAAGATCCGAGTTGTCACTGTGACCTTTTCTCCTTTACCCAGTTATAACTGCATTTGGTCAGAAAAAAAATGATTCCTCTTAAAAGTTGTCTTTATTCGGTAATGGCTCATTTCTTCTCTTCATGACGGTTGCAGTATCATCAAACATCAGAAAAATGCACACTCATTTTATATTTAGAATTTGGTGAGATTAATCACAGTAATTAGGCAGAGCTGCAGTTCTGATGATCTGAGCTTAATATGAAAAATGGAGCAGATTCCCATGTGTCACCTTGCTTTATTTCCAGGGGACAAACTTGAACTGCTTCCAGATAACTATATCCATAAATGTAATTGTCTCTTCTACCAATTTTATTTCTCCTGTATTTGCTAGTGCTTTTTTAGTTTCAAGTGACAGAAATCTAACTTAAACTGGGTTAATTGTTTTTAATTAATTGTTTTTAAGGTAACCTAATGGCACTGTAAATATCAGAGGTAGAGTTGGCTTTCAGGTATGGCTGGATCCAGAGACTCAGAGGTTGTTTTGGGACTTGGACTCTCCATTGCTCAGCCCTGCTTTCCTCTGGCTTGACTTCATTCTCATGTAGGCTCTCTCTAGTTAGTGATTCCTGGGGCTGTAGGTTTATATCCTTTTTATAGAAGCCACAACAGAAAGAAAGTACCTTATTCTTGGTGGTATAGTCAAAGCCCCAGACCAACACCCAACCAGCTCATGTGGCCCACTGAAGCCAGGGTGTGGCGTCCACTCCGCTGCAGCCACGTGCTCTGAAGAACAGGATGGGTCCCCTAAGGAAGAGTATGTTGCATGGCCGTGGAGGCCCACGGGAATGTGAAAATAATAGATGCCTTCTAGAACTCACTTCCTTTTTTTCCTTCCCCTACCCTGATATCCTTCTCTGATAGCCCAATGAGCAAATATAAGCAAGTGGAAACTGCCCCTGCCCCTCAGGGAGGCAGAGCAGGCATCCATGGCCACTCTTACCTAGGTCCTGGTCTCTGCTTAGTGGAATAGCAATGACCAAGGACTACTGCAGAAAACACTGCAGTGGCTATAGGTGTTTGTTTTCACCTGATGTTAACTTGTAAACCAAGACTCCTGCAATGATGTGTAACACCTTTAGAAGCCAAAGTTCCTTTGCGGTAAGCCAAAGTGCACTAATTTCTCCCCATCAAGGCTCACTTGTCTTCCATCCTACCTCTGCAAAACAATCCCAGAAGGAAGATAAACGAATGGAAAAGGGGCTACCCAGAATTGCTCTCCCGGCAGTGTAATCAGCAGGGAGAACCCTCAGACCTTCCCGCATCTGTTTACTAGCATTTTACACAAACTCATCAATGTGCACATGCCCACTCCCAGCAGGTAGAATCCAGTGATGTAATCTCTAGAGAAGTAGCCTGTCCTGCGATTGGGCCTCTACAAAGGTGGCCGGATGGAAAAGAGGGAGAAAGACCTGAACACTCTGGCTCAGGTGGCTGGGACTTCAGCTCCACATCTGCTCCTGATGCACTGGGTTATCTTGGACACACTCCTTCCCTTCTTAAGGCCTCAGTTTCTGAACCAAGAGCCATTGATGGCAGCAAGAATTTAAAACCTCAACAGTCTGGGGCTGTATAGCACAGTGGCAGATGACTGACTCTATACTTCCAATCAGGTGCTGAATACCTTAGCAGCTTGGTACAGAAACACATTCACAGGAAGGTGGTCAGTTTTGTCCTAGAGAGAGGTAAAATCTTAGTTGCCTATGACCTTGGCCACCTGGTGACTCTTGGCCAAGGGTTCCTAGGTGCTGAGATTGTACAGTGCTCAAGTGACCACAGAGTGCTCAGTTTCTAAAAGAGTTAGAAGTCATAGCCCGACTTGAAGTAAACCAAGATAAGGTGTTAGTTGACCAGACAGATTAATGCTACTTCCAAATGGTCTGATCTGCAGTTAGCTGGGTTTTTGGGATCAGTCAGCACTGTAGGATCAGCTAGAGAGCTCACTCAGGGCCACACAGTGAGCAAGTTTCTGTTTTTATTGGACACTTGAAAATCAGATTCTGAATTTAGCATTTTTCTGTCCGGTTTCTTTTCTTTTTTAAAAAAATTTAAATTCTTTATTGTTTAAAGTATTACATATGCCCCCCCCCACCCCCACCCCATTGACCTCTCCCTGGCCACTTCTACTCCCCAGCACATGCCCTCACCCCCCTATTGTCTGTGTCCATTGGTTATGCTTATATGCATGCATACAAGTCCTTTGATTGATCTCTTACCCCCCTCCTCCCCTGCCTTCCCTCTGAGGTTTGACAGTCTGGTTTCTTTTCTTTAAAAATAGAGTATTATGGGACTCGCTAGAATTACATAACATGTTCTTGTAGATGTTTACTACTTGTTCTGAATTATGTTAATGTATTCAGTCATATTGTCACCAGAAAAAGACCAAGACTGAGCGTAAGCAGTGAGAGGAAACTTAAAGGACTGATTATTAGGGGCAATGTCTGTTTTGGGGGCAAGATAGATTAGGGTGCAGGTCCCAGTCCAGTTGGCTGGGAGACAGGTATTGGTGTCACACAGAAAGAAGATTCCCTGATTTTTAAGCAGAAAGTGTTCTCACTGGTGAAGAGGTGAGTGACCTTGTTGTTCTCATTTTCCCAAAGTTCCAGCCAAGGTTGCCCCCATAAGGGGCTGGAAAGGGCCTTTGGGATTGACCTGTGTAGCCCCAGTGGTGGTGTTCTCAAAAAAGATATATTTCCTCTCCGTCTCCACCCAAAATTTAGAATGTGTGAGTCTGTGGGAGGGCAGTCGACGGCAGTTAGATTTAATTGAGAGTTGCAAATCTGCCATGGGAAATAGCTGGCGCAGGAAAGGGGTTGACCTAAACAGAACTGGGAGGTATTGGTCATTGGTCGTTGGGAAGGTTGCTGAGATGACGGGCCAGGCTGATAATCAAATGGGGAGGCACATGGGTTCAAAAAAGGGGCTGTTGGGTTACGCAATAGCCCAGTTGGAGGAAGGTTGAGAGTAAAGTTGCATAAACGTTGATCAAGATATCCTAAAACTTTTCCTGCAGGGAGTGTTCTGTTGATGCAAAGAGGTGCCTGATATGCCAGGACAGTGTTGGTTGTAACTGGTCCTAAGATGGGGACTTTGTTGGATGAGCGTTCAGTTATGTTGTTTAAATATGACTGGAGTGACTGAACGGCTCTGCCTGAGAGCGTTCCTCTTGTCATTTCTGTGAGTTGGAAGTTATAAAGTTCACCAAGGCACACGAGTTGGAACAGGGGCCCTCCATGTATCTTACAGTGGAAGGGTAGACTGGAGGTGGCCCATGTGTATGAGGAGGCTGGGGCTGCCGTGTAGCTAGTTGATGAGAGGGGAAGACAGAGCCAGCAGTCCTGCGCGAGAGTGGGGTTGGTGGTATTGAGGAGCTGATGTGTTAGGTTGAGGGTTTGAGAGAGATAGTGAGGACTTAGGAGGTGTTAAAGAGGTATGGGGTAGACCTGCATACACAGTAAGAGGAGGAGAAGGCTTGGGGGGTCATTGTAGACTCTAACAGATATAGCATAATTTCAACCAGATGGTAGAAGGCAATGGCTCATTAAAAAGTAAAAAATGACAAGGATGACTCCGAGGAATACTACCAGCCAGAATAAAGAGTGAGTAAGGGCCTCCCAGGCTGAATTCTAGTTAAGTTAATCCCCAGAGTTGACTTCTAGCCAGCTTATTTGGTCCCAGGAAAAGTCTATGAAATCTCCCTGCGGATAACAATCCCACAAGAACATCAGTAACTGTGTTCAGTCCTGGGACGAAAAGGAGAAGGGACTTCTTTGAGGAAGGATAGGGTAAGTGTTCTGCAGAAGGGAGGGGGCTGGCCAGGGCAGGGGCCAAAAGACAGGGACCAGCACAAACAGGACAGTGAGAGGCAATGGGGGAAGCCTGGCTCATAGGGGAGTAGGGTAAGGGTCCAGGGCTTACGGTTCCTTGGAAATTTTTGTAAATTTTAGGCCAGTCGGTCCGAGGCTGACCCTCAGCTACAAGCTGATTGGTGGTGAAGTCTGGGGTGCAGGGGTTCACTTCAACTTGGAGGAGTAGACCCAGGATGGATATCCCCGTAGCTTGACCACTGTTGGTGTGGTCAGGAGTGCCTGGTGTGGTCCTGTCCTTTCGGGCTTTGCTGTAGGATGCCTGGAGAAATACCCAGTCTCCAGCTCTAGCAGAGGATCAAGGGGAGAGTCAGTGGTAGGCCTGGAGAGAACTGGCCGGCATGCTGCCGAAGGAGGTGGCAAGTGAGGTTGAGGGTGTAGAGATAATCTCCCAAAGGGCTAGAGCAGTGGTTCCCAATGTGGGGCACACGCCCCACAGGGGGGCAGTTTGATTTTTAAAAAAAATATAATTTATTGATTTTTTTTACAGAGAGGAAGGGAGAGGGATAGAGAGTTAGAAACATCGATGAGAGAGACACATCGATCAGCTGCCTCCTGCACACTTCCTACTGGGTATGTGCCCGCAACCAAGGTATATGCCCTTGACCGGAATCGAACCTGGGACCCTTGAGTCCACAGGCCGACGCTCTATCCACTGAGCCAAACCGGTTAGGGCAATGGGCATTTTTAAGGGGGGCAACTTGAAAACGAGTTATTAACAGTGAATTTTTTGCATTTCTTATGGTTCTAGGGGCGTCATATACAGTATATAAATATATATTGTGACATATTTATGGATTTCAGGTCTCTTAGATGTTTTGAAACTATTTGCTATCACTTCATATTATTATTTTTTAAATAATTTCTTAGTGATTTCTTCCTCAGTATTTCAACTGTCCTTTGTCCTGCGTGGAGGGAGCTGTGAGTCTGGGTCAGGATTTGGGTGTCTGTTGTTGTGGGAGGATTAGTTTTCTTCAGTGGTGAGCCAGGCCCCTTCCCAGCAGCGCCTGCCTGTGTGTCAGGAGAGTTCCTCGGTGGCGTAGGAGGGGTTAAGAGCCCGCATAGCGAAGAGCTGGGATTCTGCAGGCTGGTGT